GTGTGTGTGTGTGTGTGCGTGTCGTGTGTGTGTGCTGTGTGTGTGTGTGTGTCTGTGCTGTGTGCCAGGAGAGGCTCCTCTACCTGGTACAAAGTGAAACTGCTTGTTAAGCTCTTCATTTAGCATGCTTCCTTCTGATGAAGGGTCACAGATTAAAGCACAGCGCTGTCCCTCTGCAAAATCTTCACTCTTTGTCTGTGAAACACAGTTTTGTAGGAGCGACCCTATCATAAAACCCCCACGGTGTGCTGCAAACTCTGTGTCTGTGTCTATGTGCACGAGCACATGAGTGAGTGTATGCGCGTACCTGTGTGTATGTGTGAGTGCACGTGAGTGAGTGTGCGTGTGGATGTGTGTGCGTAACAGTTAAAGCACTATGTGCGTATATCTCTATGTACGTGCCTTCCTGAGGGTCATAAAAGTCCATCTCCCTTCCAAACCAAAGTTATTTAGTTACAAACTTTGAGACTCCCACCCAGGCATGCCCTGAGGAATTTCCACTCAACATTAACCTCTCTTTGTCTCACTTTCACAGTTCAAACTGGGGGAGGGTCTCCTAGAAATCTACTCCTAAGTTTATGACACACTCAGGCTCTTTATTACATCGAGGACAGTGTCAGTGTCTCTACAATAATTCTACATTCTAACACATTTCTAAACTCTAAAATGGGCTACGCATATCTTCAAAACTTATATTATTAAAAGATTATACTGACTACTAAGTACAATTTTCTATTGACAGAAACAAAACTGAAAGTCTGAGGAAGCTAACTGTTAATGGCTCTGCACGCAGACCACACTGCAGCACACCCAACCGCATGCCCACACACAACACACACACACGCAAAATGGGAGGTGTCACCACAAGCATGTATAAAAGAACTGTGTGATGAGCCGTATCTTTGTTTCTTCTTTCATCAGCTTCATCACAGGTAAGTAACTCACTATAACATGGTTTATACAGACTTCACATTTTCTTATATAGAAATTAAACGTTTTAGATTGAGTTGTAATTTGAGTTTTCCAATTGTGATTCTTTGTAAATCTTTAAAGTTGCACTTTTTCAAATTTAAAATGGTAACTCCACTGGATAATGAAGATGTTCATCTGTAGTTTGTAAACCTTCAATTCAACTCTTAACACTGTATGACTTTGGCTTAGAGACAGAGTTTCTCAGAAGAGTGATGGCATCAGTGACTGTTTGCAGCACCACCAAAGGCTTGTTCCTCATGTTCACGCTGCTGTCTCTGGTTTCCCTTTCAAGTGCTTGGATAGACAAGGACCAGCTGGTAAACTGTTTTTTCTTAACCTTCAGTAATTTTGCGAGTCACCACAAACAAAGTTGCTGTTGTATTTTTTAGTGTAACCACTTGTATATGATTGATTTCAGACACAATTCAAAGAAAACTATCAGAACATGAAACAACATCTGGACAAACTGAAGGTCAGTGCATGTTCAGAGAACTGCAATAAGAAACTCATGGATATATATGACCAAATATAACGTTACAACATAGTAAACTGCCTTCCTGTAATATGAAACTGTTAAATTTCCATCAGGCTCAGCGTGAGGAAGAGGTGAACTTCAATTCCGAACTGTTGAGTGAATACTTGAAGATTATGGATCCATTTATCGAAGTGATGAAGAGATCTACGAAAGATTCACCTGATGGTTTTTATGAAGAAGTCACACTTATGGAGAGCTATAAGAATTTAGTGGCGGTGATTAAGGTTGAAATTGACAGGAAGAATAAGAACTTGGGTGAGAAAATGGAGGAAACTGAAAAGGAACTGGGAGAGCTGAACAAACGCATTAAATGCATTGAGGAACACCGAGATGAATTGTAACTTCCATGCCAGTCATTTCATTTTTCTTTAACAATCTGTTGTATCTCTGGTTAGTTTCCATATATATATATATATATATATATATATATATATAGCAAACTGCCATACATTAAAGACATTTACCTACTACTACTATTGTTTCTTTTCCTCAGCAACATAATGATTAATTACCTAGTCACATTCTTGTGAAATGCAAGTATGCCCTCACCAGAAAGTTTCTGCTGTTTAATTGATGATGGTATTTATAATTTAATACTATAATAATAACTATTATTATTATTATTGTTAGTAGTAGTAGTATTGCGAATGTTTGACCTTTTGTTTGTTTAGACCAGTAGTAAAACATATGTTATTTTATGCCCGTAGTCAAGGTAGTTGAATTATGATAACAGCTGTAGGACATATATTATCCTATAGTTTAGATGGTGTGCTGTGTATGTAGTTTAGTTCTCATTATACTCTTGGGTTAAAAGAACATAATCATTTTGTAGTTCTTTAGATAAAGTGTGCATCACTCTGTATCCTTGATCGGCTGTGAATGTCTTACACTGTTTTCTTGACATGCTTTATTGTTGAATCATAAAAAGAAGGTTGTGAGCAGGAGACTCTGTGTCTAGGGCAGAAGAGATAAACCACATTCCACACCCCCACCTTCCTTAGAGCAGAAAGACAGGGAGCCAAGGTCAGGAGCCAGTCTTGCTAAGAATTAGAAAAACATGTGAAGATGTAGCTTTTATGACTAGGTGGGGGTCGTCAGAAGCGGCTGTGAAACTCGTCGCCATTGCTGTGAACCCTCTGCAGGCATCTCTCCCATCCGGACGTTCTAAATGCTCTTAAGTGTTGAATTGTATGAAAATAAATGATTGTTGATTGAGCATTTATACACCGAGTACTGTCCTTCCTTCAGCCCAAAGATTAAAAGAATTGGGAGAATTCAACATGTTTTGTTTTTTCATATATTTGTATAGTGCTACAGCATTCGTATTTTTGCATTGAATTGGGTTAACCACATAACCACTGGCACAGACACCCTTGTTAAGAAAGCCTGATTACTGGTGCATGATGGTAACTGGAGAAACGCATTCAATGTTTGTCCATAATGTACTTTCATAAGCATCATGCTGCATCTTACACCTTTACTAGTTTCCTGTATTGACTCCTTCCTTACACCTCACTCTCAGTAGTCAGATCATGTTTTTTGGTCCCTTCAGTTGTTTATTATTAATGATCTCCAGGGTGATTCTTAGTAGTGATGGGATTTCTGGCTCTTTTTAGAGAGTCGGCTCTTTCGGCTCCCAACCGCCTCTTCAGGTTGTTTTGTTGCTTTAATTAATTTATTATTAACAATAATATAAAATTATGCACAAAAGGAATTACTAATGTAAAAAAAAGTGGTTTTATTTATATATGTTTATATATAAATATATGCGGTGGCCCCTAGAGACAAAGCACGCACAAACTTCCAAAGCAGAGCTACTAGATCACTTAAATTACACAATTGAAAGCATGTGTGTATTGTTTGTGTATTTATACACAAGCACTCATATATATTCAAATAATTTAAAAAAAAAAGTTCATTTACCTGTTACTACCACACACCAAATCCGGTCGTTGGTACTTGCTGGCTTGTGTAGCCACTAGGTAACAAAAGCTCAACACTGCGCCCAGCATCCTGGAGCACTTCTGTTGTCTTTTGTACATGTTTTGAAGTTTGTACGTGCTGCTTTGTCACTTCAAAGACCCGGCTCTCAGAGCCATTTCGTTCGTTTGGGCATTCGTTTATATACAGTTCTCTTGAAGTCCCACCATCCATCCATCCATTTTGCTCCGCTTATTCGGGGCCGGGTCGCAGGGGCAGCAGCCCAAGCGGAGAAGCCTAGACCTCCCTGTCCCCAGCCACCTCCTCCAGCTTATCGGGGGAACTCCAAGGCGTTCCCAGGCCAGCCAAGAGACTCTCCAGCGTGTCCTGGTGGGACATGCCCGGAAAACTTCGCCCAGGAGGCATCCTTGTCAGATCCCGAACCACCTCACTGGCTCCTTTCGATGTGGAGAGCAGCAGTGCTCTACTCTGAGCCCCTCCCGATGGCCGAACTTCTCACCCTATCTCTAAGGGAGAGGCCAGCCACCCTTCGGAGGAAGCTCATTTCCGCCGCTTGTATCCGCGATCTCGTTCTTTCGGTCACTACCCACAGCTCGTGGCCATAGGTGAGGGTAGGGACGTAGATCGACCGGTAAATTGAGAGCTTCGCTTTTACACTCAGCTCCCTCTTCACCACGACGGACCGGTGCAGCGTCCGCATCACTGCAGCTGCAGCCCCAATCCGTCTGTCGATCTCCGGCTCCCTTCTCCCATCACTCGCGAACAAGACCCCGAGATACTTGAACTCCTCCACTTGGGGATGAGTTTAAAATCATATGCACAAATTTAGGAAACAAAGTTATTTGCAGTCATTTACCTTTTACCCTTTTTTAAATAACCATTTCAAACTATTTACAGAACAATCAGCTGTTCTACATTCAATAAGATGCCACACAAATTATTTTTGCCACTTCAAAAAAATAATTTCTGTCCAGTATAAAGGAGAACATCACAGCCTGATGCCTGCAGGTCTGACTGCAGCAGCTGTATCACTCCTGATTCTACCTGGAGACAGCAGTCGCCTCATTGTTCTGACACACAACACAAAACTATCCACAACACATTAACTACACAAGACCAACTACACACTACAAACACGCTAAACCTCACAAATCTCTCACACCTCAAAACTCACTCTCTTTTTCTGCTGTATTTCTTTCTCTCGCCGTCACTTCTAAAACTTGCCCCTTTTCCTAAACAACCAGATATCATGTTGCCATATCATTTTTTGATTGGTTGACATGGTGCATTTTTCCACCAAAACGAACGGGCTATTTTTTTGTTTTGTTTTTTTTTGTTTTTTGGTCATAAGCAGAGTGCTTGCTAGCACTGTCCTTAGACAGTAAACATGACGAAACTATTAAGGAAAAAAAAAAGTATATATTGTTTATCATGACTCTGGTTTTACGTGGCCTATCAACACAATTTAAAAACTGGTATCTATCACCTTGTTGCTTTGTCATCTTAGAGTGGTCGTGTGATTGGCTTACCATGACTACTTTATTCTTCCTCAGTCAAACAGCAGCGGTGACAGGGGCAAGGGCTCTGGCAAATCCAGAGAGGGGAAGACAGGAAAAAACACTCTCTCCTCTTTGGTCACACACTGCTCGCTGCCAGCCAATCTCCAATCACTCACAATAAGAATCTCCTCAGGAAACACAGTGACAGATCCAGGAAATCTGTGTAGAGGATACACATTAGCACAAAGGCACAGAACCAGCAAGAGCTATCAACTATATTTTGAGTCACACGACGATCCAGCGATGAGTAGCTGCCATCCTCTGGTTTAAACGTTGACAGCGATAATGAGGCACAGGTGTTTCCTCTTCACAGGTGCGTGGGCCGAGGACGTGAACCTGCAACGAGTTCCACCGAGGGGAGAGAGGGGGAGAGAGAGAGGAACAAAAACACTACTGATCAGCTGCCTGCTGATCCACCAGGGCGTGACTGAAGAAATCTGCGAAAATTTTACCTGATGGTTTTCCTTGAATTGACACATTTATGGAAAACATTAAGAATTACGTGAAGGAAAGTAAGGCTAATATTGTCAGGGAGAATGAGGAGTAGAGTGCTGCGTCTTTATTTACACTTTCACTAGTTCCCTGTAGTGACTCCTTCCAGACACTTCACTCTCAGTAGTCAGGTCATCAGCAGAGTATGCACAGCCCAGGCTCTCTTTCCTGAGCAGATAGGCTTCATGTCAAGTAACAACTATATGTTGGTGCTGAATCAAATCAGTCAGTTGGGCAGTACTTTTAGCTTGACAATGCTGTCATGGTCCTGGATTGCTGACCCAGTGTTTTGTGTTTTTTGGTCCTGTCAGTTCTTTATTATTAAAGATCATCAGGATGATTCTTAGGTTCTTTATTATTAAGTTTTTCAACTGTGTCTCTATAGTCACCTTTTTATGTAATATATTGTCTCAGTCGCCCATTGCACTTTGTCGAGTTGTCTCTTGTTGTCTATGATCTTGTTCTCATGTGTTTTGGATTCTTTGGATTTCTGAACTCTATTTCTGTACTGTTTGTACAGCATTTTGAAACCTTGGGGCGACCGTGGCTCAGGGGTCCTTGAGCAAGACACTTCACCCAAGGACACATTCAGTCTCAGGGCAGACTGACTGAAGCTTGCCTCCACCAGTGTGTGAATGTGAGAGTGAATGAATAGTGAAATTATACAGCGCTTTAGGTGCCTTGAAAAGCGCTATATAAATAAATGCAACCCATTACCTTAGCATGTGAGCAAAAAAAAAAACAACATTATTGTATGAATGATGAATTATTGGAAGTCAAAGCTCTACAGCAGACATGTGGGAAATTGATGAACTTTACAGCTCATCACTGTATAGTTAAAGAACTGAAAAATGAAAGGATGCATTTGCAACAGTGTAATATAATCCATGTATTTCATGTACCAAGGTACCCACACTCAGTCATAGACACAAACAGGACCACATACACACTACGGTGAAGACAGTTACACAGACATGAGGCACAGAAGCTGCTTTGTGCATTTAAAAGAAGGACACGTCACTATTTGTTACATGTCCCCACATCCATGCTTTTAGCAGACAGTACGGCAACAGGATAATAACTTTTTTAATGTTTTATTACAAAACAACGTGACAAAACAATACACTTTATGTTAAAATCCACACTCACAACATGAGGTGATGGTGTCTTTGAGTCTATAAGGTCCATTCCTAGAGACTGAAATGAATTTCATATCCTTTGAACGACTTCTGTCTCAGTGATGGTGAATCTGAGCAGTGACAGAAAGCAGCATTCAGTTTCTCGCGTCTTCGCTGCAACTACACTTTTCCACAGTGACACAAGTCTGACGGACCTTGAACCTATCAGCCTCTGCACATCTTCGGCAGAGCAGAGAGGGACAGCCCCGTCACAGTCACTGCAGTCCATGTGAAGGCTCCTCAGTGAATTTATGGTTCTAAATCTCTGTCAGTGACGTTTCTCTGTTTGAGGCCCAGGTCTGACCGGGCAGTCTATGGCTCAGCAGTCCTTTGGTGCCTTTGAACCCATCGAGTTTTGAGATTCAAGTGGTGTGTGTGAGAAAGAGAAGCACAGACAGCAAGAGAAAGAGAGACAGGCGGTGAGAGAGAAGTGCACTTTTCCTTTCCAGGAGAAGCAAATGAGAGCAAACAACAACAGGGGTTAAGGAGAAAGACAATATGGCTTTTCCATGTCTACAGATGTAGACGTTTCATCTTTGATTCTTTGTAATATTAGAATTATGTAATCGCTCAGTTTCAAGTCCATTATCACCTGTTCACACTGCTCATATTTACATTTATATGTACATCGGCAACAGCTCTCATCCTGAGTTACTCATTATAAGAAGTCTATACCAACACTGTCATATGATTTCTGTCCTGCAGCTCTCTCTGTGCATAACAGGTCTCTCTCACATGCTTGGACATAAAGTTATATTTCTCATAAATCTCTGAAGTCTCTCTCACGTCACAGCTCGTATTCAAAGGCATTTGGCAGTAGCCACTTTGCACTGATTCCAGTAGTTTTCAGGTTTTTTGGAGGATGCAAAATGGTATCGAACATTTTCATATCGAACTTTCTTCACACCTAGCCAGCGGTGCTGGTGATTTAAACATGGTGAAGCTGGAGATCTCCTCTTCTAGTCTTTTCATTCCTTCCCCCAACCCATCCCTCAGACCCTCCTCCACCTCTTCTCCCTCCCCTGACTCTCTCTCTCCCCCCTCAGACCTCACTCTCTCCCGCTCCCCCGTCCTTCTGTCCAGCATATCTGGTGATAGAAATTCAGGGCCAAGCCTCCTCCCGCTGCCGCTCGTGTTGCAGTTGGCGTACAGAGAATTCCCATGGCCGTTGCTGGAGTTGCTGCTTATCAGAGTGTCGCTGTAACTGTGCCCACCGTTTCCATGGTTGCTAAGGAGCGTGGTTGTTGTGGTCGAAGTCGCCGTCCCGTTTCGTTTTTCCGCCATCCGGAATCCATCCGAGAAAAGGCTGGAGCTGCTGGGAGATTGAGGAGTGGCCGAGGAACCCAGCAAGTCCCGCCCCTTTCCCGATGACAACGAATTATCTGGCAGGTTGCGGGCAATCCCACACCGCCGTTTCACAAAGAAGATAAGGACGGCGAAAAAACTTAAAACTATTAAGATGGCAAATATGTACAAGGCCAGGATATGACGACCTTCGGATGTTGATACTTTTTCGACACTGGGAGCTTCTAGTGTCAGGTAATAGGCTGCTCTGCGGCAAGGGGTGGGGTCTCTGACTGCCGGCCCCCCCTCCTAGATGAGAGAAATAGCACAGACAAAAAAAAGTCCTTATTTTAAAAAAAAAAAAAGCAAAAACAACAAAAAATGACAAAAGGAAAGCAAACACAGGTCTGCCTCGTAGCTTCATACCTGGCACGTGCAGACATAGTTTCCCAGATTGTCGTCAGTGACAACCACCTCCAGGTCAGAGTTGTGCTGCCTGGTGTGTCTGTGGGGAGGATACTCCCAGCTACAGGGCCGAGGGGACAGCTGGACGCACGACAACAAGAGGCGCAGGCCCCGGAACACTTGCAGCGCTTGGGGCGACGGATTGCAGCGACCTGGAGCGGAGGGCGAGAACGGAGACGGCGAATAGGTGATTAACAACAGCAGAGGCATTTTCACTCACAATCACACTGGACGGCGACGATCACGTTATCTTAAATGAAAGTATAAACTTACCTTCTGCTACATTACACTTTTTTAAGGCAGCGTCTACCACATCACCGGGACTGGGCCTGCACACAAGGGCAAAATTATAACATATTATATGTTATAAACGCTTCTTACATATAGCTCAATTTTCTGTATTACATTTCCTTTTTTTTTTCCTTAGGAAAACATTGGTACACGAAAGTACTGCTGGAATAAAAATGGGTCACTGTGGTATTTTATAACCTTATACAGCTGCTGCCTGCCTTTCATTTCCATTTTTCTGGAAAATTTCCAATTCATTGTGATATTCCTGTAGTACTCACTCTTCTGTTGTTTGCTTGCAGGCTTCCTCCTTTGTGCTCCACACACAGCCCAGTCCTCTGGCTCTGGCGCACACCTCACAGCTGCGATACAGAGCGCAGCCTTCAGCTTGGACACGAGCCAGGGACAGAGGGCTGCCCACCAGAGCGTGGCCCTGGAAACACGGAGAACAGTTGCAGAATAGCTGAGAAATGGAACGAAGCACGGCTGTGCTTATAGTATGTGTATGTACACGCACGTGCGCTCTACCTTGTGCAGTAATATATTGTTAACAGGTTCCTGTGATGTGAACAGAGGAGTCTCCTGCAGTAAGGTGACATTCTGGCCCACTACTGCCACCTGGTGGAGCTCCCCACGGTCTGCAACACATTTTTTAATTTTTTTTTATTTATTTAATTATTTCACATTCGTGTCACAACTTCTAATACAACTTGTGAAAGTTTAGGTTTTTATCAATTTTGCATTGACTTCAGTATTTAGTTTCTAAGGACCATTATCTTTATCTGTATCTTAGTTCAGCTTTAGGGAGCTGTCTCCATTAACTACAATTTTAAACGCACTACAATTTCTATATCCTTCTGTCGTCTCTATTGTCTGATCTCTCACCTGTTCCTAGATACAGCACTGCTGCCCTCCGCTCCTCGCTGCCGTCCTTCAGATTTACAGCCAGTTTGGTGTAACTGATTCCCTTTCGAACCAGCAGGGATGCTGCAGTTACACTGTTCTCCATCAGAGGGTGGTCTCTCACAAATGTCAGCACCTTGTCAGGAAGTTTTAGGGAGGACTCAAAGCCTTCCGCCTTTAATGCACTGTTTAAACACTATTATAAAGAAAGGAAAGGGTGTGTCTTAGTATTTTATGGTAGTAAAGTCAAATAAAATGCATGCATGGTACATTTAAAGTTTGAACTTCCAGAGGGCTTCACAATATTTCATATGTGCCTCCTTTAAAATGTTAAGATATCATGTTTTTAGAAATAACTAAGGTATAAATTTAACCTGGAATTTATTTTCATCTATTATTTTTTAATATATACAGCTGAGAACTCTTGCAAAACCAAATGTTATAAAGTCTATACATCCGCCTCATCAGAGTTCACATTATAAATGCACTGGATGAAGATTTGTGGAACTAAAATCTGAACAGAGGATTGAAAATCAGCCTGTACTTGAATAGATGGCTAAAATTAAGATAAACAGATGGCTGTACTTTTGAACATGTGTGCCACCCTGTTAAATATAACTGTTAAAATAAATATATGTACACCAAACATATTCACTAACTTCTCACAGATTAAAGAAACTGTGTTTTTACTCTGACCTTTTGGGAAAAGGTCAGAGTAAAAGAGTATCTTTGGATCATATCCAGAAGGACACGTTGCTAATAAAAGAGAACAAACCTCATTTAACCTCAGTTTTAAATGCCAAACAGATCAAGTATTTTTGGCAGGATAAAAACATATTGGACCAAACAAGTTACGCCTTGGATCAAAGAAATGATTCCTAAACATCCACTAGAGAAATTCACATAATGTCTCCTCCTTTCTGAACTTTAAAAAGGATGTTCAGTGTAAACCAAGCATTATTTAGATTGTAAAATCTTCTACAACAACCATAAATCATCCGTGATGTTTGCGGGCTGCCATATTTAGATTCAGAAAAGCAGTGTAAATCATCGAAAATGTGAAAGTGCAGTTTAATACCTGGCCAGGCCGCGGTGAGGGGATCGGCTCATGATTGATCCAGTTGTCGCAGCTTTTCTTCAGCTCTTTAAATGGACCATCCAACACTTTGCTGATGTCAGACAGGCTGAAAACACACACGGCCGACAGGTCTACTTGCTCCCTGTGAGGAAGGGAAAATAAATGTTTAGCATGATGCTAAGTATGGAAGGAAAAAGCTCATTTTTTAAAAAGAGTAAAATCACATCGTCTTTTTTTGGAAAATAAGCATGAAGCTACAGCAAGTAAACAGCTTCATGCTTATTTATACTTTTTATATCATGCAATTGAAAACTGTGAATGAGCCTGTATTGCACCATATCCACTGATAGATCATCTATATTTGTCTACAACAGAAGACAACAGCAAGAAACTACATTTCCAGTGTTACAATATCTCGTATGACCAAGGATCTGCTCTGGCCTCCTGGTTACTCTTTGGCTTACCACTGGGAGGTGAACAGTCCATAGAAGTGTGTGCTGCTGGGGTCGCCTGGAATATGTTGCATGGTGAAAACATCAGTTAGGACGTTATAGCGCTGGCCGCTGGGCTTGTCCTCGCACACCAGCTGAGCCTTGAGAAAGGTGGTCCAACGTCGCTGCAGAGTCTTCATCCCTCCCACATCAGACTGAACAGACAGAGTTAATCTTAACAGGGATTCAATCACATATAGGGATCAATGATTCAGTCAAGACAGTGGGTTACCTTGCAGACCCGGGCCACCCTGGGTACTTTGACTTTGGTGTAGAAGTCATACTCTTTGGCCACCTCGTTAAAGAAGAAGTAGATTTTGTCATCGTCTCCTGTCGGGTTTCCTGCGGACTGCTCTATGAAAGCTGAGCTGACAAATTCTGGGTCTGAGAGAAAAAACACCCGCAGACACACAGTTCTAATTATCCTTGTGGGAAAGTGCGGGGTCAGCATGTGTGACTGTGGGCAAATGTGTCTCTTACCGCTGAGCCAGTTGATGGATCGTTCAGTTCGGATGCGCTCCTGCTCAGGGCCCGTTGCCCGGGAGATGTCGAAGAGTGTTCCCAGGAAGTTGCTGGTAGCTGCTGTGTAAAGGAGACCATCTAAAAGGCAAAAAAAAAATGAGAGAAAGGACAACGTTTATTTTATATAAAGATACCAGGAGAGCTTAAAAACTCTTGTTTAAAATTTTCATTTTGACCAGGAAACTTAATCAGTCAATCACACACAGTGGTACTTACCTGCCATAATAGCTGTGTAATGCTGACTAGGCTCAAAAGGACACTTTCCCTTCCCTGACTCCATCCTCACCACTCCATCAACTTCTTCCAGAGTAAATGTAGTGGCATTCTGCAGAGAAGAGAAACAAAGGACTTATATTTCCTAATTAATTACAGGCTTTTCTGTCTGATCTCGTACAGATTGCTTTTTGGCAACTTACACTGTTTCATTCATAATTCATTCATTATGAACTCCTAAAAATAGTTACTGTGAGAAGGTGTTGCTGAAGCCTGGAAAAGTCTTTAGACCTCACTGCAGGTGGTGTATAAACGTATTATGGGTACAAGTGTGGGAGATCCATCTGCACTCATTAATGCTGCATGTGCAAACTCAAACCCATTATGTAACCATATTGTGGCTCGCCTGTCTGTATGTCTGTCTGTTTGAGCGGGGTCAGAGGTCATCATCATGCATCAGTCGCTAAACTACAAGCGCATGGACGCACTCACCAAGAAGGCACACTGAGGGTCGAAAGCATAGGTGCCGCACACATAGATGCGACCATCTCCCAGGAACTCCAACAGTCGGATGTAGTTCCTGCAGTCGCCCTGCAGGGGGAGACAAACAGTAAAAAATAAAGGCAACATAGAAGGCAAGATACTGTATCCATTTTAAGCTCTGTTTAACAATCAGGACATACAGCAAATATGTTCATAATTACACATGTTTAATAAGAGTTAAATTCACATTGGATTAAGAATGATTTCACTCAGTGAAGAAGGGCAATAGGTATGTTGTATGATAAAATAGCCTTCGTCTACACTGATATATAAATACGTTTCGTTATAAACATTAACTTTCTGCCTTTTTTTGTTCTTCTTGTTGCTGAACACCAAATGATTAATGATTTTCAAAAATGTTTTGAATTTTGAGACAAAAAGGTGTTTTCTTCATGAGCCGTTTTAAAGAGTTTAAAGGGTAAAGAGTTCAGTTTTGAACAACAAAACAGGAAATTGGAGATGCCTCGCTGCTGGAGGTGACACCTGAGATTCCCACTGCTATCAGCCGAGGCCTCACACACACACACACACACACACAGGCATGAAACTTGAGATCATCCACTTTCATGCATGACACCAGATTACACATATATTTGAGCAAACTTTATTTTTCTTTCCTTATTGTCACACATCAGAAGCTGTTATGGAAAAACACCCTCACTGTCCCATGCCAGTTACCAAGAAACCATGACGTAAGCAATTTCTACTAAGTTGTGTGTGTGTGTGTGTGTGTGCGCCATCCTGGATGAGCTCCAGTGTGTGTGTGTGTGAGTGTGTGTGTGTGTGTGTGTGTGTGTGTGTGTGTGCGCCATCCTGGATGAGCTCCAGGCCTGATTCACCTCCCCAGAGACCTGATCCTCTCTGATGCACAGATCGTGTCACTCAAACCAGCCCTCCCCAGCCCTCCATGCTGGTACGGCTCCATGTGAGTTGGACAGAGAGCCAAAAAAGAGAGCGAGAGAACAAGAGAAAGACAGAAGTGGAGCTCAGGCTGGTAACAAAGGGATCAGCCTGGGATTAGCTATTTCATTGGCCCCAAATTAACCCCATTCATACTAATAAGCTTCATTCACAATCTGGCATGGGGGTGGCTCGAATGGCTCTATTCTATTCTGTTTGATTTTATTGAATTCTTTTGTACTCTTGATTAAAATGGCCTCCAATTATACATCTTTCATAGTAAAAACTTTAATGACTTCGGTGCGCATCGCAGAAATAAAAAGTCCTGCCACCTAAACATCTAAAAGCTTTTCATGCTTGCTGACATTTACCTGCTCAAAGCAATCTCCCGGTAATTACTGATGTATGTGTGTGAGAGGGCATGGTCCAACTTTTTTTTCCTGACCTCATGCTCCGCGCTCACCCTCCATTATCTCTTTCTGTCCAGCACTTTTCTCACTGCTTCTCTTCTGCAGACTTTCTCCTTGCAAGCACTACCACAACAGTTTTGACAGTGCAGCATATCCAGTGATGCTACTGTAGTACCTGAAGTAAATTAAGTAAATATTGATTGACAGGGGTTGTTTTCGTCTTTCCCTCAAAGCCTCAGCTTAATTTGATTTAATTTGAATTATATAGCACCAGATTGAAACAATAGTCATCTCAAGCCACTCTATATTATAGGGTTATAAACAGTAACCGAATCTCCAACGATCCACTTTGAGCAAGAACTTGGTGACAGTGAGGAGAAAAAAACTCCCTCTGAACCTGAAGATGACACATTAGTGCAGTTTTAGTGTCTTTCAGCTGAATGAAAGACAACTAATTATGAGTAAGGACTCGGCAACAGCAGGAAGGAAAAACTTCCTTTTCACAGGAAAGAACCTTCAGCAGAACTTGGCTCAGGAAGAGGAAGCCATGTGTTGTGACATGTTGGGGTGTTGGGGGTTACACCGGAAAAGATTCAAACTTACAAACCAAAAAATCCCAAGAAGCATTTAAGATTTTAGTATCAGTGAAGCAATAACTAGTAAAGTATGATGACTGTATACATGCACACCCACTACTTACTAAAGCTTTGACGTTTTCTTACACCTTATGATGAATGCGATGACAGAATTAAACTCAAGTCAGATCTTTTATCATATATCCACGTCTTTTCCTGTAATCCTGTAGTTAGTAATGTCCTGCTGATAGGAGTAAGCTATTACTAACGTGTCCTTATTTGTCTCTGAGTCTGCAGTTTTCACATGATTCACACACACACACACACACGGGCAGGTACTCTCTTGTTGAGTCTATTGTCTTGTCTCTGCAATCTTCATTTATTCTCCCCTGCACTTCCTCTCTCTCTATTGGTTCTACTCCCCTCCTGCGCCCCCTCCCCCACTTTTTTAAACCATCTGACTCACGTATATTCTTGTAATCAATGCCTTTGTAGAAAAAAACAACCCTTTCCTGGCTTTATCAGTCTATCACCTCCTTACAGTAGAGAACAGCAAACTGTGCTGATGATGTTTACAAAAAACAGGTCAAAACTAATTGCACTTCCTTCTCTTTTGAACCGCTGACCTTCCACTGGCTTTGTTTATCTTTGATTTGAGAGATTTTCTTCTGCTCTGATTCAATTTGGAGCATTATCCAGTCATTTAAGGACATCTTTTGTGTTTTTCTCAGGCCGCACACTCCACTATGCCAGCAAAAGATCTGGTTCAGTCTGTTACTTTTTGTTTAAACCAATAAATCAGTCAGGTACAAGAAATGTAGATCAAGTGTGTGTTTCTGCGAGCAGTTTGGTCAGAGCAGAGTAACATGCTGACATGTACAGTGGAGTGGATAGTGCGCTCTAGTTAATCAGTTTCCGTAGTCAGTTACTGGACATCTGTGAGTCCACATCCACTTCATTCTGGGTTTTCATCTCTATCGCTCTCTCTCTTTATATACACACATGCACGCGAGCACACACACACACAGACACACACACACACACCCCTACTGGGGCATTGGCATAAATCCCAGAACTTCCCATCCAATGCCCAACAGCACAGGTTTGTAAAGCACACACAAAGACACACAAATGTACGCACAGCACAAAATAAAAGCAGAGACATGTGACATCTAAGTCTTTGGTGATTTATATATATATATATATTATGCATACTGCACATCAATATATACTATATATATATATATATATATATATATATATATATGAAATATAAATATATATATATTCATATATATATATATATATATATATATATATATATATATATATATATATTATATATATATATATATATATATATATATATACTATATATATATATATTTTATAAAATGATATATATAGATATATATATAGATATATATAGATATATATAGATATATATATATAAGCACTAACCTCCTCTTTGTCTACATTGGTTTCTCTTAATGAAGACCTAGACTTTGTTGCATGCATCAAAATCTTTACAGCTCCAATCGAGGACCATGCGCTTAGTCATGTGCACCATTCATGTATATATGGGTGGAGTATGAATGGACTCCCATACATATTATTGGTATATCTGATAAATGCATTGTCTCCTCAGTTGCAAAGGCTGGGATTCGTCATAGCTTATTATTAATACCTTCTAGTCCACTGTGTTTATCCAGCAATCTTTGTAAAACAGTTAAGCCAGATATTCTCATTTACATAGCAACTCAATTAATATTAGAAACGATCAGCGTAGTTCATGGACATTCAAATGGTTCATTAGATTTTATCTGGGTACGACTGAGCTGAGTTCCTGCAGGAAGTACAAGTTTCAGTGCTGGCTGTGTTTTCCAGTCTGTTCTTGGGTTTCAAACAGCAACAATGGAAGTCAAAGCCACATTTCAGAATAGCAAGATTTAAGACAGTACTACAATTTTGCATTAACACCAGTTTGGCTGAACTACACAAAAACAACACACAAGCAGCACACATGCACTGTTCTCACCTCTGTCTTTCCCTTTCCCTCACATGACTTCCTCTTGTCGTCTGAGACGTCCCAAATAATCTGCAGGAAGAAAGAAGATACACAGACGTAGTAAGTCTGTCAGTTTTCTTATACACAAAGATAATACCATAATACAGGCTTTGGCAGAGAGCACCAAATACAACACAAAATATATTTAATGCTTTAAATCCACAGCTGTACACTGCTGTCGATCAAAACACGCACTGTTAGAAAGAGTTTCACTTGTTTGCTGGTAGGTAGCATAACAACAGTAACTGCAGTGACTCCAGACACGCTAACACAAGTATGGGACAAGTTTGACTATTATATGGACGTATGTGACGGGGGACACATATAGCCTGATTCTTTTTGATACACCCTGTATTCAGTGGTTTAATGCTGCTGCCTGGTTAGTCACACACTGGCACTGCGCCTACCTTTAATGGTTTTTTTTCATTGAGCTTCTTGGTGTCTACAGCCAGTATGGCATCCCTGGCACCCAGGAACAGCATGCCCGATGAGCGGTCCAGCAAGAAGGTGCTGAAGTTTGCCACATCCCCGAAAGTCTCCGAACCCAGGATGGTGTCTGTCAGACAGAGGGGGTGAGAGAGGGTGATATATGTCAATAACAGGATCTAAATGAATTTGGAAAGACACACTCAGAAAACAGGGCTTGGAAAAAAAATACATCTGTTCGCTGCCTCCTTGACCCATGTAACTGTGGAAACAAATGGTTGACAGGATGAGATTAAGCAAACACCATATTCCCAGCAAGAAGTTCTAAAGAGATAAAGGGATGGAGGGATGAGAATAGGAAGGGAGAGATGAGCGTAACCCGTGTTTCACACTGTCCTCTTACACAATCAGAGCAGCAGATTAATTCCTAATCTCTCTGAGACTTTTTCATCGTTCTTTTCACTCGATGTTTACCGCCATTTTTCTGCCCTTCTCTCTCTGCAGTGATATACTGTTTACAACAAAGGCATCTTGCAACTCTTCCGTCCTTCCTTGCAGCTCTCTGGAAACAACCTTCTGTTTGCCTCCTTTTTAAACGCCGTCCTCGTTCAAACGCAAATCCACTGCAGAGGAGGAAATACAACAAACTAAATTATGCATAATCATAATGTATAATACATAACTGATTCATCTTCTACATAATACATGGTGTGTAATATCAGCCATAATTCTCTCCTTAATCTAAAAACTATCAAATGAATCAAATCCCCGAAGCTTTTAAATTGTGTTCCAGCTCTTGTTTGCTCTCTCACTCAGTCACTCTCCCTCCCACTCTTTCAGCTCTAGGACAAAGCGTGTGTGTGTGTGTGTGTTTGCGCGTGTGTTTGTGCGTGTGTGCGTACTGATGTCCCAGCTGCTGAGAGGAAAGAGCACAGCTGTGTGCTGAACTTCTTTTGAGTACTGGTGAGCGATTGTGTGTGTTTGTGTGATTTAGCAGTTTTTTTAAAGTCCTCCAATGTCACCCTTTTTTAGCCTCACGAAGAAAGCCAGACACGGCTTCGCCTCCAAAGAAGGCGGGGCCGGCGATTGGTTTCGACGTCCCAATCAAAGACACAGGAACACAAAATAAAGAAGCGCCATTGCACCACAGATGACAAATCAGATGACAGATAAATGCTAATGAGTGCAGCATGTGGTGTTAATTTAACCTCAAACAAACTAACAAGAGCAAACCAGATAATGTGCATTACTCACTGCACTTGCACAATTAAACAATTAATGAATCATGACTAATGACTAACAATAGAACCAACTCCCATGTTTGTTCACAGGGCAGACGTGGCTTTATAATATGAGAAACTGTATTTATCACCTATATACACACATTTACTGTCAAACTCAACACCTAGCACCTAAAATCTAAAGAAAAGGTGTCCAACATAAAGCCTGGGGGCCATAATCGGCCCTGCAAAGACTGCAATTCAGCCCGTTAGAATGCTTTGGAAAACATGAAGGAGTGCAAGGAGTTTTTGAACTGTTAACTGTATTTTCATAGTTGTTACAGCTTTTTCTATTGATAAAGACCTATCACATCGCCATTAATAGCACAACAAATAGCTAAGTAATAGATAAATGACAGAAATGTTCCTTTTTTTCCACAATTTACTTTAGAAATTTCTGTTTTGTAACAATGGGTATATGGGTGAAACAAAAAAGAGCATTATTATGAATACAGGATAGTCTGGGCAATGAGTTACCATAACTTCTTCTGTAATCTTACACATTTATCATGTAAAAAATTAGATGTTTTGATGAATTTGCACTTCTTTTTCTTATATTAAGAGTTAAACTTAAATGACCATCATTTATGTCTGGTTTAAATGAAAAGTTTGTTTTCAAATGTCGAATCTCCAGCTAAGCACACATCTATTTCTTTAAAAAATCATGTGAATCACTTGAATATTCAGTGGTCTTAGGCTCAGAAAAATGACTGGAAAGCCTCTGGACTGCCCAGTCCACATCTTGAAGTTTCCTTGTGAACGGCACTGAACACAACACCTGTAGCCTTTCTGTAAATATGCTGAATCAGTGAGTTAAATGTGGTTGACAATACAATGATACAATACCTGATGTTTGAGCTCTGACTGCAAGATAAGATGTCACTAAAACATAGAGTAGCAGCAGCTCAAGCACAGAAAAGTCAGCTAACTGACGCAGAACAGCCTGCTACAATCTCTCTGAAATCCCTCACAGTTTACTATGTTTACGTTGTTTGCCATTTATGTTTACACTGCCTGTTCATTGCCTGCAATTTTATACAATCCATGCACTATACAAACCCTCAAAAGCTCCCACAATGGAAGTAAAGAGAGCAGCATTTATGGAACGTATAGTATAGATAGTGAATATTGCAACTGTATTATATTAAAGTTCCAGCGAATTACGATGGTTCACAGTAGCATCTGAATTCTAATTTAAGCTGTTCTGAATTCAGAACAGCTTCTGTGGCTGCAATACAGGAAGTGATGTCAGATCCCTTCCTGTATATGTATGTCAACATCTAAAGTTAACTAACTTTACCTGGTCTATAAATAAATGTGTACACCGCAGACCAGATAAGACTGAAAGCAGCATTACTTCTGATAATGAAACCAAACAAGAGATAACTGCGTCTGCATGCATGCTTCTCAGAAATACTGCATTACTTCCCCTTCAGTGAAAAGCCACCTCACCATCAAAATGGTCACGAACATGCTTCAAATCTACGAACGCCGCCATAAGAGAACAAGCAGCATTCCTTTGTGCATTTCTTACTTAGAAATTAGAACGATAGAGAGGAGAGAATTATAGCGCACAGCCTCTATTATTATGCAGGGAGGGCAGGTGACACTGACAGACGTTAGAAAAATACAGAACAGGCAATGCAAACGATCTAAAGTGCACAAAGATTTGTTTCTTTTCTATTTAGAGGTAATTTCAAATTGGTGATATACTCCACAAATTACGTAGAAGAAAGCATTCCTGGAGGAAAATCCTGCGAGGACCACAAATGGAGTTTGAAGGAACACGACGGCCAATTTGGCAGCTGTCGACTAAATGATTAAAACGAGAACAATCATTTTCTTTCTTGTTATAGTGGGTGGGACTACGTCAAGTCACTTTTATAAATGGCGCTCGGCGCTGACACGGTTTTCCACTTAGAGCTCATCTGGGTGTCCGTCTGTGTGGCATGGGAAAAAAAAGACCCCAACATGCTGACATCTGCTTGTAACTGAATCACAGACATTTTCACGTCCCCCCGCCTTGAATCCAGACTCCCTCATCCAGTCAGTCTGTGTCTGTTTCCTGTAACATTTCACATGAATGTCATTTCTCATTCACTAAGAAGCCATCTGTTCGGCTAAAAAAGCCTCCAGGCAGTCAACAAGCGAGAGCGGCACTGATTTGCTAGTGGAGGGTTAGCACTTCCTGAAAAGCAGCCAATATGAGAAAGGAGAGTGAGATCAATATAATAAAAGGAGACACACACACACACACACGCACAAGCACACGTGTGTGTTTATGTGTGAAGTGTTGCCCTTGATTAAAAGTTTTTTCTTTTGGAGTGTGGCGTCCTTCTTTTTGCTTTTACACCCCGAGCTACTGAAATAAACAACTCCGCTCCTCAATCTGTCAGTCAAAGCTGGC